CAATGCAATAAACTTTGATGCTTGGCATTCCATCATGCTCGCAATCCGTCTGCCCAAATAGCAATTACAAGTACTTAATATCGGATATATGGGGCTCAGGCAGATCGAGGCCAAGTTGACTATGCAGGATATTTGTAGTGCTCGCTCAACTTTCATTTTAGAGCAGACAAAATATGCTTGTTGTGTCTTGTGCGTCCGGATAATGCAGGAGGCCTACGAAAATGCCTATCCATTCAGTCAACATCAGTCAGATTATGTCCTCATCTACAGGCGCACACACAAAAAGAACACAGAGTTAGAGTGGTCTTAAAACATTTTCAAAAAGGACTTAAAAACTTCAGTTGGCTGCAGCTGGTTGGACGGAAAAAGTCGAAAATCAACGAGGCCCAAGCTCAATGCAATCAATGGCTTAGACCAGAAGCACAATCGGGTAGCAACAATGCGACAGCACCAAAAACACGACTAACAGCCCCAACAACTTGTCAAACAACCAGGCCACTTTACACAGATTGAGATAGGCAGAAAAATTGCAGTGAGCTGAGAATTTCATAACAATTTTCCCGGGCCGACTGGCTTTTGGCCCGGTCCAAAGTAAACAGTGTTCGGGCCCAAATGTATGCAGTTCATTTTTACCGAGGGAGAGTCAGGGGGGTTTTTGGGAAGAGGTGAAGAATCTTGCTGATTGAATGGTTTACTCCCACTCAAGCTGTCTGCCTGGATCTTAGCCGGTATCCAAGCAACAAATTGACAAAAATTGAATAAAATAATACCCAGGCCTGGCTGAGTTTTCCATGCGTGTGCTAAAGGTAGAGGCTCAGCCAGTACGAGTGGCAACCACTAACTCCACCACAGCCACCGCCAACCATGCTGAAATATGGCCAGGTGGCCCTAGCTTATGCAATCCTGCAAATGGAAATATGCTGTATATATTTATCGCTCGCATCGCCTGCTTTTCAAGTAATATGGAATAGCAAAAAAGTTGCACTAGGCAAACTCGATTGCAACACTTACACAGGCAACCAACTGACACAAGCACACACCGCCCACCCACACACAAGTTTTCCCTGCACAGTGTGCAACTTGATCTTGGAGATTATAAAGATAAAACTAAAAACTTTAATAAAAACGTTAAATAAAATTAAGTACAAGCTCAATTGTTAATAAAAATACTGATTTTTTTGCTTTTAAAATAACAATTCCAATTTGTACTAAAAATTGTTTTTTTTCTGTACTGATTTTTTGGTGTGACTTGTCTAAAAAGGATTCCAAATCAAAAATTTACTCTGTTTTGTGAAGCTAATAACCAAATATATCGATTCCTTTCACTTTCAGGCTAATGAACTACAATTAATATTTTGACCAATTTTTACGTTTTTCATAATGGGTTAAATCATAATTTTTTGCGAAAAATGTTTCAAAATAAAAATGTTCTGGTTTGAATGCCAATGGGTTAGGAATTTCATTACGAGCTTAACGATGTATGACATTCTAAATTTCGGTAATTTTTTGGCATTTTTTCAGTCTAAATCTTTGATATTTTTTAGCTTTACTTTACATTATAACGACTGAACATTGTTGAGTTAACAAATAAATTTTTTCCCACTGTGCACGCCGCGCATCGTGCAACATTTGCGCCTACAAGCGGGCAATAGATTTCGCAATCTGCTCTGTATTTGCGCACATGATTTTTCTCACTCAACGTGCGTATGTTTTCCTGTCCGCGTTGTTGTTCATTTGTTGTTACTCGTGCTACTTATCTTTGCCACTGAAAAAGCTAGGAGTAAACAAGTCGGCAACTTTGAGGCTTATATTATCCGTGGTGCTTGAAAAACTTTTGAATAACATTTGCATTCTTACGGTTATTATTCAGGACTTAATTACACTTTTTATTTTGGTTTAAAATCAGGGAAAAAGCGTATGATTTCTGTTCTTTTTCTTTTGGTAAATTTATTAAAATAATATAACTATATCCAAAGGATTTATTTATTTGTTTATCCAATTTTGACTTACTATAATTTCTATAATTTCTCATACCTTAAATCCAAATAAACGGTTCTGCTCTAAGAGGGCACTTTAAAGGATATAGGAAAGTCGGTGAATCACCGCTTGTTTAATATGTCCGCAGGATGTGTGAAGGAGTGGCCCCTCAGAGCGGTTTGTGTAAGTGTGCATGTGGAACTGGCTGATGATGGCCCACGGCAACGAGGATTCCGCATGGAAATGGAATCGGGTACGGGGACCCAGCTGGAGGGCTCTGGGTGCGACGTGGCCGACGGGCGGAGTGGCATCATAATGCTAATGATATTTGCCTTAAAGAATGGCAGCGAGAGTCAGGTTACAGGTTACAGGTAACATCCAGTTAGCAGCTGCTGCTGGGGACTTTAGTTGATGAAAAACCCCTTAGAAATGCATTAGTAATTTTCCATGGCCTGTTGGCCAGGACCTAGGTCCTTCTGCTGTCCCTGCCACTTTTGTGTTTTGTTTTCACAGGTTTTCACAGTCAATTGACCAATGAAATGTGCAGAGGAATGAAGCGTGGCTAATGTGGAATGGCCGATGGTAATGTTATGGGCGACTATATGGTGGGATGAGCTGTGGATGATTGCGGGTGTCTCCAATGTTACTCATCCTCATACTCGTCTGTATGGGAATTTAATTAAAAATGCATAAAAAATTGCAATACGCAAATGAAAATTGTGTATATTATTAATCACTGCTAATTTAAATATAACTTTCAGTAATTATTTTCGTTATTTGCTTTGGCTTACAAACAATTAATTTAAACTTATTAATTATTAATTTTATTTTTAAAAATATATTACCGATGTCTATCTTTCAAAGTCATTGAAAAGCATTTGCAGCCGTTAGGCAAATTCATTTATGGTTTTCAATTTTAATGCATTCTTTTGTCATCATAATCTGCAAATGTGTATTTTAATAAACAAATCTGGCTTTAATTTACTTTTAATTGAAAGTTTCCGATAGGCACATTAATTTCTTATAATGAGTTTTAAAAACAATTTAAAAGTACTAACCATTCAATTTCAACTAAAGTCATAATAATAATTCAAGCTTTGTCATAATTTTTTCCATTTGCAACCAGAACTTTAATTGAGTTCAATGAAAATAATCATTTGGCTTTGCTTATTTATATTCAGTGCCAGAATTCAAATAAAGATTAATTTCAAAATTAATCCAAATAATTTTCCAAGGGTGAGAATATTATACGTAAGTTACAAACAGAAAAACAAATTTATTTATAATCACTTGTTTTTGTATCACAGGATTTGGTAGATTTAATTACAGTGTTAACAGTACATTTAATGCCGCCATAATAAAATCAGATTTCATTTAAATACGAGCAACTTACAAATATGGAAAAGCCTAGTTGCAAAAGGTCATAATTGACAGCTCATTTCACTTGAATCATTTAGAATAGTGTTTAAAATCAAAATCAATGTAAGTATTTAAAATCAAATTCAATGCATGTAAATTATATTGTTAAACAACTATGAAAGGGTTTATAATTAATGGTAAATATGAATAATCAGCTGTCAATAATGATGGGATTAAAATTGAAACCATTTCATTTGGATGAAGGAAATATTACAAAGGAATTTTCCATCCTCATTCTTTTTACAGAAAAAGTAAAGTAATGCCTTTTTTCTCATTTTTGTCTCCTCAGCGTTTTTATACCACAAAAAAGTAGCTTTGTCGTGATTTGAGCTCCACTTCACAATCGAAGAGGGAACATAATTAAATCATGAGTGTAAGGAACAGGTCGAATGGATTGGCCCCCAACAAGCCCACACTAAATTCCAAGTGGAACTGGGCGTTTCGTGATAATGATGTCGAACGATGATGATGGCGTGGGCGTGGATAATCGTAACAATTATCAGCGATGAGTCTGCGACACTTGACGACAAACATTGTCACGCTTTGTCCCCAAGCCCCCTCCCCCTCTCAACTTGTAGTGGGCCCTTCCGAAATCCCCACCCACTTGGGGGCGATAAAATTTTGTTGCCTAGAGTAACGCTTAACGATTGTGTTCATTGACTTTGGTCTAACGATTTTGTTGAGTAGGCTAATGTGTCAGGACGGGCCCTATCCCAGTTGTAGCCACTTTATGTAGGGGTTTTTGGCAGTGGTAGTGGGGAACAGTGTGTGCGGACTGGGGCTTATCACGCTTATCGGCCAATAATTCCCTGATAGCGCATTGCGCACATTCGACTGGCCCCCATGAATCAGCCGCTCGATCCGTGAGCGTGATTTGATAACTGGCATTTTGGCTTTATCTCCCGGCCTCCGCCCACCCAACGTGACATACCACTAAATATAATCGACTAGTGCAGGGTATTTGGGGGGACTTTTCTGTATTCGCACCAAGTAAATGTAAGCAATACTTTGAATTAACCTGGAATTTAAAGGTGGAATAGAAAGAAATAACACCTGCATATTTGTTTAATTTTGTAATATATTTATTTGAACTAAAAACAAACTAATGATGAATAATTTAATTAAAACATATTTCAATAATAGTTTGTTAGAAATCAATGATTAAAGTATTTGAAAAAAGTATAATTGTTTAATTTAAGTTTTTCAAATTTAAAATAAATAAAAATTCATGATTATAAATCTAAGAGTAATTATTAAAAATTTATTACGAAATTCAGTTATTTATTTTGGGTGAATATATGATTTTATAACTCTTAAAGTCTTTAAAATATCGAAGTCAAAATACGAAACACAATTTACATATTAAGCAAACTTGAACAACATGATTGAACTAAAACTACCCATATACAGATTATTAAAGAGTCGTTATAACTCACGTGCATTACCTCATCGACTTTTATCAGGTACGAAATAACCTATTAATAAAACCACACATTTCGACATATTATTTTTATGTCTACGGGGTTTATCAAAGTCAAATTGAAACCGCTATAAAAGCTCGGCAGTCAATTCGAAGCATTTAGTTGCAGAAAATCCGTCGAACCGATGGGCTTTGGGTGGTGCAGGGAAACTAATAGTATTAATTAAAATCATTGAACAGGCCGAGTCTGGCGAATAAATTATAATAAGTGACAGTGCGAGCGATAAATTGAACGCTGCAAAAATAATGCCGAACATTGTCGCACTAAAGCTGAGCGCCAGCTTTCCAATTCCGGCGGGTCAACGGGTTCACGAGGATGGAAGGAATATCCTGGTGCTGGACCAATTGGCGTTGCAGCAACAAATCAGTGCGAATTTCATTTTCCATGCGATTTCCAACTACAAGAAGACGCCGTCCGAGCGAAAAACACTCGAATTCATTGCCAAAAAATGGCTGCAGATCCAGATGCTGTGGCGCGAGTTCCGGCTGAGGGATAAGCAAATACGGCGGCATGGCCACAAGGATGCCCACTTTCTGGAGCACGGCTACTTCCAGCAGGAGCTGTTCGAGCTGGTCCAAGAGAAATATACAGCTGCCCGCGGATGCCTGAGTCGTGACAAAAGGAATCTGCTCACTGGTCAGCCGTAGTGTTTATTCAGTCGACGACGACAAGAAGGCGGCGGAAGGCCCCTGAATAAAAGCAAAAAAGGAGAAGCCGGCAGGAAAAAGGATACGGGGATGTGTGAAAACTTATTCCCCTGAAAAACACCAATTCTCGTATGTGGTGTGGCCTGCACTGAGTCAACAGTTCGATTCTCAGATGATATCCGTCAACAGCGATTCCATTTCCATTCCCAATATCATTCGGAATCCGAATACCAATCCAATGGGCAATCAATCTGAACGGACTGGAACGGCATCTATATGCCCAATGATTGATTGCACTCGGCGAATGCTTATCACAATTATTATGATATGCCAAAAGGTTATACAAGTCACGCTGATGACAAAGGCATTTCTATTTATTCAGAGTAATAAAAATAAGGAAGAAAAAAGTGTCTGAAATTCTTTAAGTGCAAATATCGGTCACCTTGAAATTTAAATAAAATACCCATTAAACTTTCGGACTTAAATCGGTATTAATCAGATACACTTACTAAAAATATGACCAATTCTCTGGGGAATTCCTATTTGACCGTCCAAAAACACTCGAACGATTAAATCAGCGATAAGATAAATATAAACTTGGGAATTCCGTTTTTAATAGGGGGGAAATGCCTTCTCCAACTACGTAGACTTCGCACAGCTGTCTGCGAGCGTAAACTTAATTAACTGCCCCGGCAATTATCTTGTTTTTGGTCAGTTTTCTTTGAAACAAAGAAAATAAAGGAAACAAAGGGAAAATCAATTTTCTTAACCAAATAAAGCGCTAAACAGCTAATAAAAATTGGCCACACACAAAAACCAACTAATTCGATAATTTGCTTTAGATGCCCAAGTGAAAGAGCAAAAAAGCCTTTGGCATTCGGGCTTTGAGCCCAGTTGTATCTGTATCTGTATCGCTTTGGCCATGGCCATCGGCTTGTGTCTAATTTAGCGCGATTAAGGGAGCCGGGAAAAAACAGCGAAACAAAATCGAGGGCAGGCCACTAAACTGAATTAAGACCGCAAATTTATGGGCGCCGGCTGCTGGCAATATCCAGAATATCCCCAATACCAAACCCAAGGTGCCGCCCAAAGGGAACCCCATGTTGACAAGAATACTGTCCTTTCGGAGGGATATCGGCAGATGTTTGTTGTGGAGAGAGCAGCCCGATTGCTTCAGAACACATGAATATTTTTCAAGAAATTAAAATATTAAATAGAGTATCTTTTTGATACAAATAGTAACACAGAGATGTTTATTATTTATTATTGTTTATGTACAAGTTCTCTAAAAATGATACAAACGTGGGAGTTTAACCTTTATTTAAAGACTGTAAATTAATTATAATATTTTATCTTGGAAGTCATTCTTCAGCTCCATCAAAATTTAAAGATTACTTATTTTAAAACTATTTGGTTTATTTATGTTCTTAAATAGTAAACATTTATTTACATAAATAGCGCACAAGTAGCTGCGACTGGCCATAAATCAAGAACCAGGCTTCCTCAGCGGCAGTCATAATGTGTAATAACATTTTCTGGATAAACTTTTTCCACCCCATCCCCATCCCCCAAACTCAATTGTAATCTTCCCCCTCCCGCGGTTATAGGTCCGACAATCAACCCAAATTGATGTACATTAAAGGCGGTCCTGCGACCCTCCTGCGATTTCGATGCCAAATAGTCCGCCGCGGCAGAGTAAGAAATAAATTTATGTAAAGCAAAAACAAGGTAGACAGACCACCACCCCCACCCCCAGTAGGCCTTTTAAATGGAGGGTGAAATTCCACCGGGTGGCGGCTAAAAAAATAAAAAAACGTAGCATATTTTAGAGGCTGTGCGCACTTTAATAAGATTTATTAAGTCGCGAAGGACCGCGGCGAGAGCCTCGACATTGACTGTGGGTCCTTGGCAGTGTCTTAGCCAACAAAAAAAGGCAAATAGCCGGGCTTGAATGGCGGGTGGTAGGGGGTGGAGGGGTTGTTAGTGGGTGGAGGGATTTGGCCCAGTCTGTACCGCGTTGTAAATATTTGTTACTCAACTCTTGCCGCCGCTGTTTGCGTTTTGTGTTGTCGGCTGTTTGTTTTCTTGTTTGCGTCTTGCTCTCTGCTCTTCAGTCCAAAGCCCCCCTTTTATCCCCTCCTCCGCCACCCCTGTGTTTATTTTGCAGCTAATAAAAAGTTGATGTGTTGCCTCTGTTCTTGGCTGCCATTTTTTTATTGTTGGGCCGGAATTTTTCACAGTAAGCTTCTGTTGGCGCCTAAAAAGCGGCAATGAACTTTCACTGTACATACTTGGCATTTTTTACCCCATTTTTCCTCTGTTTTTTCGGGCAACGCTTTGAGGCTTAACATATGACTGCAGCAGCATATGTGTGAGTGAGCAGGAAAAGTCGGTTAAATGGAGCGGCAATTGTTTGTTCGGAAACTTTGGTTTTGCCAGCTTGGGGAGCCAAAGATTTGTTTGTTCCGCCACAGAAGTTTTCGCCGGTTCGGATTTGGCTGATCTCAATTGGAAATTGGTTAGGTCTGAAATGTTTGTCCTTGGATAAGTAATTACAATTGGGCAATCTTAAAACACGTATGCCTCGTGTTTAGTTGTAAAGATAACTCTGGGACTTCCTAGAATTATTTAAGGAGGTCGTGATAAGAACGCTTTGATTTCGCTTGTACAATCGTAGCTCTTGATATTATTGCACAATTTTATTAGTGGTTATTTATTATTTATTACTTAGACAACAAATATATTTTGTTAAATAATTCTAAGCTTAAACATGATCTTATACTTAAACTGTATTATTTTTCTTCAGGGTTAAGTTAAATGTATTTCATTTATGAAATTCATTTTTGCCACAAGAAATGTAACAATAAATAAACATTACAGTAAGTCAAACAAATTTGTAAGCAATTTGTTTCTTTATTTTCTGCTCTCATTATTTTCTCAACCAATTGGTCAATCTAGCCTGGTACTAACTTCCTAATCTAGGATCCTATCCTAACCACAAAACATATTAGAGGCGATACTGCAACCAATTGCTTGCTTTATTTCAGCATTCGCTCGTGTTTGGCCGCATGTTTGTGTTGATATCATAAAAAGGAAATTTAATAAATATTTTCGGGCCTTTCGGCGGCAGCGGGAGGGCAGTGAACCATTTGAAAAGGCGGAAAAAAAGCATGAAACAACAGAGAGTCATATAAAATTGATGCCCCTGTCGTCTGGTGGCGCCACCTGGTGGCCCCTCTCTTTCTCGCTCGGCATCTGGCCGTCTCTCTTTCGCCCACGGCAACAAATGTACGGAAACACAGGCGCACACACCCAGTAAATAATGTAATAATCTGGCCGGGTCGTGGTCTCCCTGCGACGACCCATAAACCGAAATTTATGCACGAAATTCAATTATGCTTAAAATGTGGTTAATAGGCCGACTGGCGGAGCCTCCAACTGGCAGCCATGGCAACAATGGGCCCCCCACGGGAGGAATATGCAATGGTTATGACCTCCCAGGTCACAATACCCCCCTATCATACCGTCCCACCTATCTAACGAAATTTATTAAATATTACACACCCGCCTTTGAAATTAGATATCGTTATGTTGTTATTTAATAACAAATTCAGTATTTGTTGTTACTCTTTTTATGGCCCATATGAGGGCGCCTTAACCACGGGTTTTATGGACCCCCGAAAATATGTCCTCGGAATGGGAGCTTTGTTCGGCTCTCTGTTGATTCCTCTCAAATGGTTTATGGTCTCGGGACGGGACACATCATATTTTCATCTCTTTTTATGATTTAGTAGCGTAGAGTGTCTGTCCGAAAGTTGAAAGTGGTTTATGAGTGGGTCAGAATATTATTTTTTGGAAACGACTGGAAAAGGTAAAGTTAATTTAACTGAAATTGGGCAAATGAAAAATGCTCTCTAAGTTGGCAAAACATAAAACGAAGTGAGTAATGGGTGGGCGGTTGGTAGTATACCATATACCAAGTTAAGTTCAGCTAACTGCATTTTGTTTTGGTGTTGGCTCCATAGAGCTCCTTTGTGGGCCGGAGCAATAAACGAATTAACTGGGATCGATTCGGATCAAACGTGGGTATTTGTCTGCTCACTTGATGGACTTAGCACTAACTGAGCCCCCGGCTTTGTTGGCAGTGCCTTCCGACCCGCACACTCACTCGGCATCACTGGGTCCTCTTTCCCAGCAATTTGGCCCCGGTCCTGTACTTGTCTCCTCTGACACTCCGACAAACGATAACGAAACAAATCCGTGCACACTGAACTGAACGCACAACACGAAGAATGGAGAAAGTCTGGGGCAAGTGGAACAGAACAGAAAGACAAACTCAAAGTCAGCTCAAAACTTGCAAAATGATTTTAAATGACATAGGGAATGGCAGACGCAACAGAAAGACCCACCACACTCACATCCACTACTCGGTACTGGGTGCTGGGTCCTCCGCTCGATCTTGTTAAGATAAAGTCGCCTTGCAAATATTAACAACAACAGCAAATACGTACGTTGATGGAAAAAATAAATACTGAAAACAAAATGGCAACAGCAGACTAACGCAAAAACGGTGGAGAAATCGCCTGCAGGTTGTCTAGGCGGTCGCTCCTAAGACAACAGCGACACACATATGAGCAGCCATGACCATGCCACGACCATGTCGCGGGTACAGTGGTTCAAACAGGTAAAAAGTATATCTATAGATGGTTAGGTTATTCCAGATATCATTATTATAGTGAATTAATTATTAGCTAGATCGGACATACATAAACCGAAAATTTTTTATTTTGTTTTGGTACTTATAATTTATTATTATTATTTTTAAAAATATGAAGATTTTTTATAATAAACTTAACATTTTAAATTACGTAACTGTATTAAAAAACATGAAACTATCCCAAGTAATTGTTTCTTTGATTTACGCTTTTCGGACTAGTATTGTTATTTATATTTTAATTTCCAGCATGACATGCCCACATAAATATATAAATACTTTTCTATGCATTTTTTAAAATTCTGTAAATTGTGGAAATAAGTTTAAGACGCATGTTGCAAGTGAGAGATTTTGTACAACTTTAAGAGTATAAACCTATTAACTCTGCTATTAAGAATTATTAAACCTAGATCTAATTCGTTAAATCATAACACAATTTTAAATATTATTTTTAGTATTTTTCTAGAGCTTTGTTTTCCTAATCCAGCTACACTGTGGATTTGTGTCTCGTCGTGCCTTTATTATAACGACAACGTGAGCCATTTCCTAGCTTTGTATGGCTCCATTTTGCAGTCACTCTTCGCTTCGTTTGTATCCCCTTCCTCATATTTTTTTTAATCTACTCACAGACATTTTTCTTTCAATGCTGGAGCCCGCTGCCATCTCGGACTCCCAACGCCCCCCCTCCGCCAACGCCTTTTATTCAGCTCTTTTTCTATTTGTCACCCAGATAAGTGTTTTGTAGTATTTTCTAGATTTTTTGCGTTGTTTCCTTTGATACGCCCGGCGAAGGAAATCCAAATCTTAACTGCAATGCGCTACGTGCCTTGTGGCCCGGGCATAACCAACTGTCATGTCAGACATGTGGATGTGCCAGGGGCACCCATCCACCCCCTATATCTACCCCTATACTATATCCCGGCATCAGTTGCCCAGTTGGCAGTCGGTTCCATTCAACTGGCAACTGTCTTTAAGTCCCTGCCACAACAGACACACACACATCCATGTCCACGTCCTCCCCCGATTTCAAAGACTCCTGCAGGAGTTAAGTTGAGTTGAGATGCCGGCGAACTGCTTCAAATCTTCGGTAATAGATATCAACAACTTTTCGGAACAAGAAGAACATGAGACCGGTTTCGAATCCTGTGCAATGCCGCTGCCTCCCCTTCCCCTCTGTTCGTCCTTTGCGGATTTAATAGATTGTTCTCCTCGGAGTGCGTTTCCTTTTCGCTGGTGGAACGGGTATATGTGCGCTAAATTAAAAATGAACTTTGGCAGCTCGAATTCATGGTCATGTTAACTTCTTGCTGCACTTGCTCGTGGCTGGTCAACTCAACTCAACTCAGTTCGCCATCGTTTGTCTTGTTCGTGGCCCCGAGGAGGGAGGGTCCTGGTCCTTGGCATCCACTCAACCCACTCAACCCACTGAACCCACGATGTCCTTCGAAAGTTAGTTACGGACTGGCTTTGGAGTCTCTATGATAAGATAAAGCTTTATTCTGTTCGCGGTTCTTTGTGACTGCTCTGCTGGTTGAGCAGATTGCATCTGTCCCGGGCATGTGAATGCAGTCTGAGGTTTTAGCATCGAGTTAAGATAACTGAATCACATGGGATTGTGGGTTGGCGGTTAAGGGACTCGGTTTATTTGTCATAATTGGTTTATTACCTTGCAGGAAGAACAAATAACAAAAATGTGGTAAATTGTTTCCCAGTTAGTGAGGATAGTGAATTTTCTTTTTGAAAATGAATGAAAAATTTAATAAAATCTAATCGTTTTCTTGAAATATTTTAAAGTATTTATATAAAGGATTAGGTATCGGATCAAAAAATAGGAATTTGGGTATTCAAAAAGTATGCAACAATAAATTTGTTTTAATATAATGGTATATCACTTATTTCTTCTATTAAACAAAGTCATTTGAGTACCTCTAAAATAGCCAGATCAATATCAGCGATCAAGTCTTAGATTTCCCCATCTATCTAAACTATTGGCTCACTTTGGCAGATAGATTTACTATCGGCTGATAATAAAGTGGATTGGCACGCGTTTATTGCCGCCAAGAATAACCTCTAATCAACAGACTTCGAAGCAGCGTCATGGAGCTAGACTCCTGATAGAGAGACTCTGATTTACAACTTGGTAGGTAAAGCCAGTCGAATGGTCAGACGATAAGCCTCTCAGGCACTATAAAAGTCAAGGCTCAACTGCATTTGAGTTTAGTGATCGCAGTCACAATGAATCGTTTGCTATTGAGTGTGGTGGCGCTGGTCGCCTTGAGTGCATCCTGCCAAGGACATCCGGAGGTCGAGTTCCCCTTCGGGAAAATCGTCAACGGCGAGGAAACGACAATCGATCAGCACCCCTACCAAGTGTCCATCCAGACGACTTCGGGCTCCCACTTCTGCGGAGGAAGTCTGATCAATGATGATACCGTCGTGACCGCCGCCCACTGCATGCAGTCCTATGCCGCCAGCAAGTTGCAGGTCCGTCTGGGATCCACGAACAGGAACTCCGGCGGTGAGTTGGTCGGCGTGAGGGCCTTCAAGTACCACGAGGGCTACAACAGCAAGCTGATGACCAACGATGTGGCCATCCTCAAGCTGAGCTCTCCCGTTGTCCAGACCTCCCTGATCCGCGCCATCGAATTGGCCAAGGAAGAGCCCGAGAATGGAGAGAAGGCCGTGGTCTCCGGCTGGGGCACCACCTGCTACTTTTGGTGCTCCTCCCCAGCTACCCTTCTAAAGGTGGCGGTGGATATTGTGAGACAATATGAATGTGCCAGTAGCACCTACAAGTACGGAACTTCGGTCTCGGACACCATGATCTGTGCCTACAGCGAGGGTAAGGACGCCTGCCAGGGTGACTCCGGCGGTCCCCTCGTTTCCGGCGGCAAGCTGGTGGGCGTCGTCTCCTGGGGCAGCGGATGCGCTAAGGACGGCTACCCGGGCGTCTATGCCAGTGTCGCCCAGCTCTATGATTGGATCGTAAATACCACTGCTTCGTTGTAGATAGAATGAATAAATTGAAGAGCATTTTTAAAGGATCTGTTTGTAAAATGGGGGGTAATGGAATCTAAATAATACGATTTTTGGATTGTTTGAACTCAGAAAAAACAAGAGAGAACGCTTATTAGATACCCGTTACTCAGCTTAACTTTTATGGAACTTTAATTGCTCAGAACTTCTTATTGAATGGTTCGATCTGAACAATTGGATGAGTATATGGAAGCCATATAATGGCTACTAATAATCGAAACAAAATCTCATTTACACTGAATGGGAAGCTAAGAATCTTAATCTATATCCCCAAATCGGGTAGTGACCCTGATCAAGATCATGTATACTTTATGTGGTCGAACGAAATATACCCTAATACTTAAGATTAACTATACAAAATGTGGTAATTTGTTTCACAGTTTGTGAGGAGACTATATTGTCATTTAGTTAAATTTTTTTTTTAAATATATATAAAAGTATCTATTTTAAGGTTTAAGTATCGTTATCTTACACCTTCTGAAATGTCTATTTTAAAGTAAGTTTATTTTGGGTAGATTTTCAAGTGTTGATAAGATCATAAAAAAAATTTGCCAGATCAAAATCAGCGAACAAGTTATAGATTTCCCCATCTATCTAAACTAGTTGGGCACTTTGGCAGATAGATTTACCATCGGCTGATAATACTCCGTAGCTAGTGTCCTGATAGAGAGACACTGATTTACAACTTGGAAGGCAAAGCCAAACGATAAGGTTCTAAGGCACTATAAAAGACGAGGCCTCAACCGCATTTGAGTTTAGTGATCGCAGTGAGAATGAATCGTTTGCTATGGACTGCGGTGGCGCTGGTCGCCTTGAGTGCCTGCTGCCAGGGACATCCGGACATCGAATTCCCCTTCGGCCGGATCGTCAACGGCGTGAACACGACAATCGATAAGCACCCCTATCAAGTGTCGATCCAGACGATCAAGAGCGGCTCCCACTTCTGCGGCGGAAGTCTGATCGATTCGATCACCGTCGTGACCGCCGCCCACTGCATGCAGTCCTATGCAGCCAGCGAGATTCAGGTCCGTCTGGGATCCACGTACAGGAACTCCGGCGGTGAGGTGGTCAGCGTGAGGGCCTTCAAGTACCACGAGGGCTACAACAGCACGCTGATGATCAACGATGTGGCCATCATCAAGCTGAGCACTCCCGTTCGCCAGACCTCCCTGATCCGGGCCATCGAACTGGCAAAGGAGGAGCCCGTCAGTGGAGAAAAGGCCGTGGTTTCCGGCTGGGGCACCACCTGCTTCCTCTTGTGCTCCTCCCCGAATTACCTTTTAGAGGTGGAGGTGGAACTTCTGCATAAGAGGGACTGTGGCAGTAGCACCTATAATTACGGAGACTCGATCGGTGATACCATGGTCTGTGCCGCCGGCACCGACGTGAAGGCTGACGCCTGCCAGGGTGACTCCGGCGGTCCCCTGGTGTCCAACGGCCTGCTGGTCGGCATCGTGTCCTGGGGCAACGGATGCGCTTGGACCGGCTACCCGGGCGTCTATGCCAGTGTCAGCGAGCTCTGGCTGTGGATCGTTGAGAACAGTGCATCGTTGTAGACAGAATGAATAAATGGAAGAGTATTTTTAAAAGATCTGTTTATATGGGGGTAACACAGAACTCTCTTCGAACAAAAAACGATTGGAATTTGTATTTATACCAAGTTTTGTTAGAGGAGTTCCCTGTGACACCACCGATAAAGTGGTGTATTATCTAACTATTTTTCTCTACCACAAAAAAAGTATGACCGATTACAAGACATAACATACCTAAGTGAACTATAGAAATTTAAAAAGAAAGTTGTGAAAGCTGGAGTTCAAGAATTGAATTCAAGAAAAAGGCTCCATTCTACAATGTACATCCATATTTCACGTAGTAGCCACCTACAATCACAGCTGACTTATTTATCGATCAAAGGGGGTTACTATTTTTTTATTGGATTTTTGTGCTGATTAGATTACCTCTCTCTAAGTTAGTGCAAATCTTGCCATAGTAAAACAAAAATCCGTTTTATAAAATCTTGAAAGTAATTCAAGAACCCCGCCCTGTTGCTTCACAACTCGGTCTCCTGTCATCACGATTTTGGCTAGACAAACCACACCCAGGCGGAATTAAGAGCCAGGAGACCGCCTGCTCCCCAGTCCCGTCTAGACTGGAATTTTGATGAAAAATGTATTTAGATACTAGATAAAATTTAGTATACGACTGCGACAACGAGACATGGCCATGCAAATACGAACATAGAACATACGAACCGTTGGCCTGAAAAGCAATTCGTGTGGCTGCCCCTGCTGTCTATCCGCCCTCTTTGGTATTTTATTGCTTGGCTCGATCTTTGTTTTCATGGGGGCGTAACCACTGGTTGTTTTCTATAAAGCTGTTAAATACTTAAGTGTAATTTATGGCATGCGATATTATTCGGCTGTGTGTTGTCATGTTTGCCAAAAGTTTTACATATGCCAAACCCAAACTTAAACGACCGAGGATAAGCTCACACGGGTGGTGGGGGTTGTATGCCCAGGGATCTGGTGAGTAATATGCTGGGGCGCCAACAGACTTACACGAATTTCTTATGAAATTGTTGTGGCCACCATATGCCCGAGTGGCCAAAATGCCAAGTTTGTCAACTCCCACTTAGTGCACGATTCTTTGCATATTTTGGGGCTGTCTGCCTGTCTTTTGGGTGGCTGTTTTGGCTTGTTTTGCGTGAACAGGAGCCAGTCTATTATCACTTAATAAATGAACAAGTTATAGACAGCCAACGTCTCCTGCTCCTCCTGTTGCTGTCATGTCGTGGCATGTAAGGATTACGGGTCACCAGCACAGATTGACATGACTTGGCTTCACAAACGGACACTAAATAACAAAGTCAGATTTTAGAGATTATTTATCAATATTATAAGGGTGTCAAAATAAAATATAAACTGCTGTTGATTAATGAAAACAGATATAAGACTACAAAAATAAGTTAAATATAAGCTGATTGAATGACATTTAAATCAGGGACCGTAAATAACAGTTATTTGAGACTTTTATTTTAAAATGACTACTGTGATATTTTGTTTTAAACGTCAAAAATAACACTCTTTTTACTCTTGTCCACAAAGCATATGCATTTCAGCAAATCTGGAAAGCAAATTAACTGTTATTTGTCCATGTCTATAAAGTGCATAAAAACCAGTAAAATTGTTGATAAAAAATTGAACAAATCTCAGTAGGCCTTTTAAAATAAAAGTCTCAAATAACTGTTATTTACGGTCCCGGATTTAAATGGAATGGTAATTCTATAAATATAAATATTCTTTAAATTCTAAAGAAATTCATACTTTATTATTATTATTTTCTGTCTTATTTCATAAAATTAGCGCCTTAATCTGCAATTTTTCACCTAAATCCCCAACTAACCACAACATCCAATTCATTTTTCAGACGCACATCGTCTACCCCAGGCTCCTTTATATAGTGAGGCACCCAAACAACTTCACTTACCGTTCTTCGTATATCATATCGCCAACAAAACACCCAACTTTGAAAAATGCCAAAAATAGCTTACATTGTGCCCCGGCAATTGACCCATGCATCGTGATGTATAGACTGCAGCAACATCCTTTAATCCAAGTCGGTGGTTGGAGGAGCAGGGTGAGGATCCGGAGGTTATGCCATTGGGTTTCCTAGGTTATTTGGCAGTTATGACCCCGGCAGCCGGGCATCAAGCATCGTAGTCATCGAGACAGGTGTAAAATTATATGCCAGCCGTGTGGCATAGCACAAATCGCTGGTGTCCTGCCTGGATTTCCGTTACACCGGCAGTTACTCTATATGTGTGCGCTTCAATTTCAAAAGATAACAATTTTAATTACAACGTTTTGCGAAATATTGGCAACCGCAGCAGTCTGGGCACTCAGGCAGGTGGCCGCGCACACAGAATGAAATCCAACCAGAAAATCTCCGTAAATACAAGTTTAAATCTGGTGACTAAAATAGGGGGGGTTAAATTCAATACAGAAATAAGTCCAAGCTATATTCAAAAACGTATAAAGTTATTAAATGTATCGTTATTTTGGAAATGGATTATAAATCCCCTCCCACTCGGGTGAAAACTATAAGGAAGGAAGTATGCTAAACAAATTTGTACAAAAATCCCACCAAAAACCAAATCCTGTATCCGCCACTGGAAAGTATATTATAAGGAATATATTACATTTTAAATATTTAACTAACAAGTCTTGAATCATATTCTTAAATTCTAAATATTTCCTAAAATATTTTTCTTACCCACTCAAAGGCACTTTAATCTTTATTGACGCCGTCAGAACTTGCATTTTCCTTATGCCGCTTGAAATTCTTTCAGTTTCACTCGATCAAAATTGAAAACGGCCAAACAGTGAAGCAATCAACGAGGCTGCATTTAAAATTAATCAGAGATGAAACTCAAATGAGGCGTGGTGGGGGAGGCGTAGTCTTGTGGCGTAGAACAAAAGCATCCAACTCCTGGACAGGTGGCAGTTCCAAACCATCGCTTCGCATCGTATCGGATCGCAGAGGCTACGAGCGGTGGCCTCTAGCCAACTGAACTGACAGACAGACAGCCTTATTATGAGCGCTTTTTAAGTATAAACATCTCGCATTCCCGTGTGTTTATGACATAATGACAGCCAACTCGTTCCCGGACGATACCCTCCCGTATTACACATACGCCACGTTGCCGCTGGCAGAGAGCAGCGCAGAGCAGACCAGTCTGCAGCCAAGTAACTTTCTGACAGTTATGAGGGGGATTCAAATGTAATCAGCCATTTTTAACTCTCGACCTCACATCGCCATTGCATCCGGCGAACAGGTTTACGACCCATTCAGCCAAGCCCCAAAACTCCTCGATTCGCGCGACGGGGGCCGTTCAAAGTGCCAGACAGCGGACTTAGTCGCATAAAAATTCAACCTCGGGCGAAGCCTCAACGTCACTTTTTGATTTCTTACTTTTTTTTCCCCCCGTCTTTATTCTGCATAATATAATAATAATTTATGCCCGTCTGGCTGAGTGGCAGATTAAGGGAGAAACTGTGTCAACTTGGCCTCTGATTGTGTCAGTATCGGGGCGGCTTAAAAAGTTTTGGTTAGTGAGCAAAAAAATCCAGACACCATTTTTTAAGCCTCATTATGCAAATCAGATATAAGGATTAAAGTTGAACAACAAACTGCTATATAATTAAACCTGAGGAATACGATCTATTAAGGATATTTCACAATCTATTTGGTTGCATATATGGACAGTTAAAAATTCTCAACCCTTCACTCTTTTAAAACCCACCAATCCTCCCCCATTAAAACCGAACCTACACTGTCATAATATTTTTTATAGTTTGTTTGCACTGGACTTTGCGGTGCATGTGTGTGTGGGTGTGTACAGTGTACACATATGACATCGTCAATCATATTTAAATTAATTAAGTTAAGTTAGCGTTGATATGAAGTCGGGGATTTTTACCCGTTTGGCTCTTGACTGAACGCAAATTGAATTAAGTTGATCGGAGTAAATACTGAGCTCGAAGTCAGGCCTGCCAATTAAGCCACGCCCATCTCATATTTAATTAATTAATTCACACGACCAACGCACATATTCGTACTTCCACACACACTCACAACCGGGTAAATATATGTATACGCATTTAAATGTCAAGCGAAAAAAGTTATTCAAGTGCTTGACAAACTTTAGAGTACAAACAACAACTAATTAAAAAAAAAAGAGGAGAGAATCGGCAATTTCAGCTTGCAACATGTTTAAGTGCCTGCAAGTAGCATTCCACCCACACAAATTATTTTGTATCACAAATAGTTGAGTGGTTGAACATTGAATTACAAATTGAAAAGGAAATTTAAAATATTTCTGACATTTAATTGCTGCACTTTAATTAAATTGATGTAGAATATAGGTATTTCTGGCAAATCTCTGTCTAATATTTCTAATTTTCATTTACCATCTAAAGATGGAATACCAATTAAATATTTCTTAAAGTTTGGTTGGATTTCTTACTACATTACATAATAATAAAAGGGGTGTAAACAAAAAAAAACATTATACTATTAAGTTAGGATCCCAAATTGTCTGGCAGCCATCCACAAACTGTAGTTTTCGTTTTCAAAATTTGTGTTTAGTGCGAGTGGGCAAACATTTTGAATGGGGCGAAGCCAAAGGCGAGTTTTTAGCTGCCGCAGAGTCAACCGGGCTCAGCCACTCATTACTCATTTGCCATAAACTTTCGCCGACTTTTCATATTTTCCGAAATGCAGTCACATACACGGTGGCACACTCATTATGCGCTTTTCCAGGCCATATTGATTTTGCTCGAGCACTAAGTGCAAGTGGATCGGGGTGGACCAGAAACCAGAAAAGCGGAGGACCAGACAACAAATCGGTAGCTATAAATTCTGCACTTAAAAACTTTTCAACAGTTTTTGGTTGTTGTTATTTCTGCTTGAGGTTTTTGCACAATCATTTTTCCAGCGGGGTAGGTAGGCCATTTATGGTAATCCTTGTCGTAATTTTCCCTTTTTCGGCAGCCAGTATTTTTGGTTAAAATGTTATTTATTTTC